ATATATATATATGCAAATTGTTCCTGTGGGGATTTGACTGGGAGACCTGTCGCTTGCTATGATGTGAACTGATCACCAGGGGCTGGCGCCAAATGAAGGAAGCCCCTGGCCAGCTGCTGGCAGCAGGGGGAGGGAGGCCCTGTCCAGTAACAGGAAGGCTCTGCTTGGCACTGATTGCCAGCCCCCTAGGGAGCCAAATTTTGTGCACAGGACCTCTAGTATATATTAGAATAATACACATATTTTGTATATGATATATATATACAGCAATCATCTGAATTTACAAAGGATTATAAGAGAAATTATGAACAATTATTCAACAACAAATTATATAACCTGAATGAAATAAATTCTTACAAAGCCATGAACTATAAAAGTACCTGAAGGACTAGAGTCTGAACAGACTTGTCACAAGTGAGGAGATTGAATTTGTAATTAAAACTTTCTAAAATGGCCCCAACTGGTTTGGTTCAGTGGACAGAGCATTGGCCTGTGGACTAAGGGTCCTGGGTTCTATTTCAGTCAAGGGCACATGCCCAGGTTGCTATATCCTCAGTAGGGGACATGCAGGAGGCAGCCTATCAATGATTCTCTCTCAACATTAATATTTCTCTCTCTCCTCTCCCTTCCTGTCTGAAATCAATAAGATATATTTAAAAAACCCCACAACTTTCCAAAATGAAAAGTGAAGACCCGAATTCGACTAACCATTTATGGAAGAATTAACACAAATTCTTGTAAATTCCTAAAAAAATACAATGAAAAGGAACACTAAGTAATTTTATGAGGCCACAGTTACGCTAAAAACAAAACCAGAAAAAGACATCAAAAGAAAACAAAACTATAGATCATTAAGTCTTATGAACATAGATGCAAAAATCTTCAACAAAATATCAGGAATAACTTTATCAAAGAAGGCTCAAGACTTGTCCACTGAAAACTATAAAATATAGCTAAAGAAATTTAAAAACCCTAAATAAGTTGAAAAGTATCCTGTGATTATGAATTGGAAGACAATATTGTAAACATGGCAATATTCTCAAAAGTGATGTACAGATTCAATGCAATACTAACAATACTCCAACAGCATTTCTTTTTTGCAAAAATGGAAAAGCTCATCCTAAAATTAATATGGTATTGCAAGAGGCCCCAATACCCAAACAATATTGAAAATGCAAAACAAAGTTGGAGGACTCACACTTCCTGATTTCAAAACTTATACAGTAATCAGAGCAGTACGGTACTGCCATATGAGTAGACATATAAACCAACAAAATAAAATTGAGAGTCTAGAAATAAACCCATTTATTTATGTCAAATAATTTTCAGCAATACCCTTCAATGAGGGAAAGAATAGTCTATGCACAAAATACACAAAAATCAGGTAAAAAGGCGTCAAAGACCTAGATTTAAGAGCTAAAAATAAAACAGTTAGGCCCAGTCCATGTAGCTCAGTGGTTGAGCTTTGACCCAGGAATCAAGAAGCCCCCTGGCTCGATTCCCAGTCAGGGCACATGCTCGGGTTGCAGGCTCAATCCCCTGTGGTGTGTGTGCAGAAGGCAGCCAATCAATAATGTTTCTCTCTCATTGATGTTTCTCTCTATATATCGCTCTTCCTTCCTCTCTCTCTAAAAAAATCAATAAAAACATTAAAAATACAATAAAAATAGAAGTTAGTAGAAAACACAGAAGTAAATCTTCATGACCTGGGATTTGGCAATCAGTACTTAGATATGACATAAAATGTACAAACAAGAAAAGAAAAAAATAAATAAAATGGGCTTTATCAAAATTTAATGCACCTATTTATTAAAGTAAATAGACTATGAAGAAAGTGAAAAGAATCTATAGGATGGGAAAACATATTAGCAAATCACATGTCTCATAAGGGTCCACTAGCAAATATATAAAGAACACTTAAAACAAAACAACAAAAAGCCAAACAATGCAATTAAAACATAGGCATAGGACTTGAACAGACATTTCTCAGGAAAAAATAATACACAAATGTTCAATAATCGCATGAAAAGATATTAAATATCACTATTCATTAGGGAAATGCAAATCAAAACCTTAACGAGATGTCACCTGACACACTAGAAAAGCTTTAATAAAACCAAAACAAAATGGAAGTAACACATTTTGCTGAGGATGTGAAGGTTGGCACCGTTGCACATTGCTTGGGGTAGGGAGTATGTATATGTATAATGGTGCAGCCATTTGGAAAAATAGTTTGGTGATTCCTAAATGTTGGAGATATAATTAGCATATCACTCAGCAATTCCACTCCTACATATGGACCCAAAGAACTGAAACAGTTATTCAAACAGTAACTTACACACCAATATCATAGTAACTCAATTCACAATAGTCAAAGGGTGGCAACAATCCAATGTCCATAAATGGATGAATGGATGAATAAACAAAAGGTGGTGTATACATGCAATGGAATAGAATTCAACCATATGGTATATGCTACCATATGGATGACCTTGAAAACAGTATGCTAGGTGAAAGAAGCTAGACTATAAGGAAATGTATTGTATCATTCTATTTATATAAAATGTACAGAATTGGCTAATTCATAGAGACAGAAAACAGATAAATGCTTGCCAAGGGCTGGGGGTAGGGGTGCGCGAGAATGAGAAGTAACTGCTAAGTGGGTACAGTGTTCACTTCTGGGATGATGAAAACACTTTAGAAATAGAGGTGATGGCCTGGCCGGTATGTCTCATTGGTTGAGCATCAACCCACGAACCAGGAGGTCACAGATTCTGGACCAGGGCACATGCCCAGCTTTCTGGCTAAATCCCCAGTAGGGGACATGCAGGAGACAGCCATTTTTAAAAAGGTATATATTTTTTATTATTGATAGTATTACAGATATCACCCATTTTCCCCTCCTTTACCCTCCTCCTCCCAGCTGGCACCCCCACCCCTCTGTTTTCACTACCCTATTATTCATGTCCATGGGCTATGCATATACAGATACAGATTTTTTGGTTTATCTCATCATTGATGTTTCTATCTTTCTCTCTCCCTCTCTCTGAAATCAACAAAAACATATTAAAAAATAAATAAATAGAGGTGATAGTTGTACAACTCTGTGAATGTATGAAATGTCACTGAATTGTACACTTTAATTAAAATAGTGGATTTTATGTTATGTGAAATTTACCTTAATAAAACAAATCACTTAAATATCAGATAATATTAAATTGTATTCCTCCAAATTTAATAATTTGTTTTCTTTTGAAGCCATTTCTATTTTACCTTAAATTATTTAGTATAATTACTAGAGACCCAGTGCATGAAAACTCGTGCTCTGGAGGTTTGCGGGGGGGTTCCCTCAGCCCTGGCATGTGTCCTCTCACAGTCTAGGAGCCCTTGGGGGGAAATCTGACTGATGGCTAAGCTGGCAGTCAGAGCGCTCACTAGCCTTGAGCCTGGCTTCTGGCTGAGGAGCACACTGATCACCAGGGGGCAGCTCCTGCATTGAACATCTGCCCCCTGGTGGTCAGTGCGTGTCATAGTAACCAGTCATTCTGCAGTTTGGTCTATTTGCATATTAGCCTTTGGTTATATAGGATAATATTAGGCATAATGAGGATTTGGCATTTGTTAATCAGAATATTATTATGTCAGATGCATTTTTTTTTTAAATTTGATTCTATCATCTAGATTGTGGTATAATGGTATCAAAAATTTTCCAAATATGTTTTTTGTTTGTTTTCAGTCATTTATTATTAATGAAATAATGTCAAATTTAACTGTCAAGAATCTGGGTCAATGAGGGGAAATAGATTAATCAATATTGGGATAAGGTCCCTGGGTGTCTGGCTTCCTCATTAGCTGACTTGGACAACACACTACCTACAGCTCAGCATGAGCTGTTTTCCTCATCACATCAATGGGAAAACTATGATCTCAGTGTGCTTAGAAGAAGGGCAATAGATCTATGTGGCCGCCTTTCTGTCTATCTAATCTCTATACCTATCTACTAGCCCTCTGACCAACCTAACTACCTATCTATCTAACCATGACATGTGAAGGATTATGGAAGACACCCCACCACCTCACACTTCTTATAGCCACTGACCCCCATGACACCCAACTGTCACTTCATTTCAAGGCAGATATTTATTTCCCACATCTTCTCATCTTGCATAAAAAAATACAGCTATTACA